GGGAAGGGGAGAAAATGGGAATTCCCAAAACAGAAAGAGGCTCCAGGGTGGCTCCGAGGTAAGGTGATTATTTCAAAAATTCGTGGCTTTTCTGCCTCGTTATGGAACTAAAATTTTATTTAATTAGAGAAATTGGGTGGGAATTCTGTTTTTTTTTGGTGTCACCTCCTCATCTGAACCTGCAGCCAAACCCCTCCTGACTCCTCTTGAGCTCCAGCTGCAGCTTAATTGGATGTCGCTTGTCTAATTATGCTAATTATGCTAATTAGCCATTAGTTATCATCAATTACACGTCAGGGTGGGGCTGGGAAGGGGGTGAAAAGCCAGGCACTGGTTCCAGTAAGTCCCAAGGAACTGGGAAGGGGTTCCCACACCCCCCGGATCACTAATGGCACTCCCAGCCTAATAATTCCAATTTTTAATTAATAAACTGAGAAGTGAATTTTTTTCACTCAAAATTAACTATTCAGTGAATTTTTTCACTCCAAACTACCAATTCAGTGAATTTATTTACAGGAAACCACCAAATCTGACACAGTCAGGGACGATTTACTAAACCCTTGTGCCAAATCCTTCAGGCCTGGATCCCTAAAACCCCTCCCCAATCCATCCTTTTTATGGAATTTTAAGGAAAATCCCCCCCCGTGGGCCGATCCTCGTCAAGGATGGAAATAATTAAGAGGGAGGAAAATGAAATTCCCCATCATTTCTAATTAACCTGTAATTAAAGCGCGGCCCAGGCGAAGGGGCCGCGGCCTCGCCGGGAATGCAAATGCAATCAGTGCCTTTGCATCTCATTAATTAGGGATCTGGCTGGGACCAAACCGAGGCTCCTGCTCCACGTTTTCCCTTTTCCAGGAGCAAGAAAGGCAGGAAAGGGGAAGAAATGGGGGGGTTGTGATGGAAAACTCCCCAGTGGGAATCAAAACGGCCTCGGCAGGGGGAGAATGAGCCAAAACCTGGCAAATTTGGGCAAAAATAAATGAAAACCTGATTATTTTGGGGTAGAAATGAACCAAAACCTGACATATTTCGGCCAGAAATGAACTAAAATTTGATGTATCGGGGCCAGAAATAAATCAAACTGCTGTTTTAGGGCCAGGAATGAACAAAAACCTGACCTATTAGGGCCAATTTCCTCAAGAACCAACCCCATTTCCCACTGAATCTGCATTTTCCAGTGTTCCCAAATCCCCTTTTGCTCCCTAAACCAGTTATTTATCAACTTTTGTCTCTTCCTACTGCAATTTTGGGCCCCAATTCCTTCAAGAGAAAAAAAACAAAAAATAAAACCACAGCAGCATTATTCTGGATTTTGGAGAGATCCAGCAAAAAAGCCCCAGAAGCAACAAACCCCAAATTGTGGATTTTTCACATAAAAACAACCCAAACACTTTGTTTTCCCCCCATGCAAGAGCCTAAAAATCAACAAAAAAAAACCTTAAAAAAGACTATTAAGCCAAAAAAAAAAAAAAAAAAAAGCTTTGTGTTGTGGAGTCCCTGAGGGAAAACAGGGAGTGGGTTAAATGGGAGGAAAATTAGGGACAGAATGTGGGATTTTGGGGCAAAATGAGGCTAAAAAGGGCACCAACACACCTGTTTTCTCCTTGATCTCACACAGGACACTGAACAGGGCTGGTTTCATCCTGTGGCAGTTCAGGGCGTGTTTCCTGGGGGAAAAAAAAAGGAGGAAAAATGAGCCCAAATCCACGGAAAAAGCCAAGAAAACCTCAGGAACAGCAGGTCAGTGAGAGAAATGAAGGAAGGAATGGGAAAATCCTGGAGACTTCTGTCATTAAAGTTCATTTCCTCAGGAGTGAAGTGGGCTGAAAACACACAGGCCTTTAAAAATTCCAAGTTTTGGCCAGTTCTGGGAACCACCACGTGCCTTTGGTGCTATAAAAAGTGCAATTTTAAATGTATATTTAATATATTTTTAATGGATAGGTATGTTTATAAATATATTTGTAAACAAGTTTGTAATTTGGGGGTGACTCTCACCAGAAAACAGCGGGAAAACCCCCCTGGATGAAACACACCTCAGAAAGTCTCCTTTGCTCCTCCTGAGCCCTTTTCCAATCCAGAACTAATATTTAAATCAGATTTCTAGCTCAGTTTCACCACATTTTTTTATGTAAAACACCGTTTTCCAGCGTTCCGGGGCCACCTTCCCTGAGAAATGGGCGGGAGGGACCCCCTGGATGTGACACCCCCTCGAAGGGTCCCTTTGGCCGCTCCCGAGCCCCTCTTTGGAATCCACAAACGCGATTCCAGTCCCTCCTTTTCGGCGTCTTTCTGACCCAAACCCCGAGCGTTCGGCCCCGGGAAGGGCCCGAATCCCGGCTCCCCTCCCGCCCCCATCCCAGAGGCGGCTCCGGCCCCTCCGGCGAGGCCGAAACCGCGGGATTTCCCCCCAAATCCGGGCTGAGCGCGGCCCCCCCGAGCCCGGCGGGGAGAGAACAAAGGCGGCGGCTCGGGAGCTCCGGGAGGGAGCCCATTGTCCTCGGCCGAGCGGGGAAAACCGGGAAGCGCGGGGAGAATTCCCGGCCCCCGGGTGGAAACGAGCGGCGTTCGGGTCCAAAACCCGGCGGTAATTAATAATTAATCACCGCGGCCGCGGCGGCGGCGTCACGCGGGAGGCTCGGCCCCCCCGGCTCCGATCCCTGCCCAGCCCGACTCCCGGGCAAGTTTCCAGCTTGGATCTTCCAAACCCCCGGCGTGGGACCCCCCGAAATCCGCCAGGGGTTAAAACAACACCCGAAACCCACATTTTCAGTGTGAAATACCGGAGTGAATTCCCCACAAATGCAGCAGCGCAGCAGCATCGACCTGGCTCGTCTCGGGGTAAAAACTCACCAAACCCAACCAACTTCCCGCCCACAAAACAAAAAAACGGATTTTTCCACGTATTTCCATGAATTCCCACAAAAATGCACCAGAAGGGCTGTAAAATTTGGGGCCCAGTTGGAGCGTGAGGGTGGTTTTGGGTCAATATCGAAGGGATTTGGTTTGACAACGGTCAAAGCTCAACCTTCAACCTACTCGAAACTAAAACTCCCAACAAGCTCAGAATGGTCTTAAATAGCAATAATTGTCCTCAATATTCCACGCCTCTGGAATGCCCCAGGGGAGCTGCAGGTGAGAACAACACCAGGAAAGAGACAAAAAGAGTCAAGTTTTGGGGGAAAAGTGACAGTTCCGCACGTGCCCCGCTCGGGTTCCACCACCCCACGGAGCCACACTTGGAAATGAACCCAAAGAGCCAGGTTTCAACCACACTTGGAAATGAACCCAAAGAGCCAGGTTTCAACCCAAATTAGGAGGGTTTAGAGGGCAAAGCTTCTCCTTATGTTCACGTGAATCCATCCAATCCCCTGGAATTTGGTGATAGCGACTGGCACACCCAAAACTGGCCAAACTTTGGGGGCAGATTAACGAAAATGGGCGGTTTTATCACGCTGGGACATCCCCCAACACCCAACCACGGGAAAACCACAGGAAAACCACAGGGATGGGGGGGGAATAGGCCCCAAAAGCCCGTTTTGGTGGGATCCAAACCACCTCCCTTGTGGAGGAGCCGCTAATCAGGGGGAGGTAATTAGCTGGTTCTAGACAGGGGCTGCAGAACCCACCGGATCCCGCTCCTTTCCAGGCCGGTGGTGACGTTCGGGGATGGTTTTCCCATTAAATTGAGGAATTCCAGGTGGGGGTGAGGGATGAAGGATCCCCCCCTGTCCCCAACCCTGGGGGTCTGCAGCCCCCCCACCCCTTCCTGGTCAAACTTCACCCCCCAGCACCTCCAGATTCCCTGTTCCCGGTGGCTTTTCCCCATTCCCAGTGGGTTTCCCCCCCTTCCCAGTGGGTTCCCCCCATTCCCAGTGTTTTTCCCCCTTCCCAGCGGTGTCAGGGGGGACAACCCCATTCCCACCGGGAATGTTGACACCACCCGGGGGCAGCTCCTCGGACGCCGTTACCGGGGAATCCGCGGTGAGCAGCGGGAGCATCCCCCCGCACTGGGAATAGCGGGAACACCGGGAATAGCGGGAAATCCCCCCCTGCTCCCCCGCCGGGGTGGTCTCTCCGCGGTGCCCCCCGCGCTGAGTCACGGTCGGGGCCGGAGCCCCCTCCCCGCCCCCGGTACCTGGCCTGGGCCTCGTCCAGGCTCTGGTCGGTGATGGCCATGATCTGCTGCAGGACATCGCCCGTGTCGTGCGGCCCCGGCGCGGGCGGCTCCGCGGCGGCGGCGGGAGGAGGAGGAGGAGGAGGAGGAGGAGGCGGCGGGAGGGTCACCCCGAGCAGCCGCGACGGGTCCTCCATGGCGGGCGGGGCCGGGCCCGGCGCCGCGGCCCCGGCGCGACAGGGCCCGGCGGCGACCGAGCGGCGACCACCGACCCCCCCCGCCCCCCGCCCGCAGCCGCGGGACACGCCCACCGATGGACACGCCCTCTCCTGTGTCGACAAGGGCCACGCCCAGCACTGGCCGCGCCCCCGATGCCCACGCGGGACACGCCCACATTCTCCGTTAGTCCCCGCCCACTGCCAAGGGGTCACACCCATCCCCGGTAAGGACCCCCCACTGACCCCGCGGACCACGCCCACTCCTCAGTGCCCACGCCTACATCACCGCTCATGCCCCGCCCACTGCCCCGCCCACTGCCCCCTCACCTGTGGCCACCCCCACTTACCCGATTAGGCCCCTCCCATCACCCCCTCCCCGGGGTCCCATCGAACCCCCCCCTTGGGGTCCCATCGACCCCCCCCCTTGGGGTCCCACCCCCCCCCACCCCAGTCCCACCCATATTTTATTCCAGTTCTCCACATCCAACTCTTTCTTTTCTAAAACCCAGGGCAAAACCATTTATTCCAGGAGTCTCTGGGACACAGAGGTGGGAAGGATATTCCAAGGCTTTCAGTCAGTCCAGGAGACGTGTCACCTCCCCCCTGCCCCTGCCTGACTCTGCTCTGCAACAAAGAAACCCTCCAGAAAGTCGTGTTCTCCTCAAGTGGCCGCTCTGGGGGCTGATCCTCGGACAAAACCAGGATGTTTGATTAAAAAAAACACCCTGAAATTATAAATTTAGATGATATTCCAGCGCCACATGGAAAACAACTCCCCCTGCATTTCACACCAGCGCATCCACACCGGCTGAAGTTTAACCATGTGAAAGCGAAGGAAAGCTGGAGGATTATTCCCAGTTTCTGAGAATATTCTGGATGATCTCCCCTCCGGACACAGCCCCAGAATCAACACCGACCGTTCACATCCCAGGAGAGGGGTTGCCATTAACGAAGATTCCCAATTTCTCTGCAGGGAGAAAAACGGGCCTGAGGCAGATTTGAGGCGTTGTTTGAGCGTTAAGGTACAAAAACTGCACGTTAAAAATCCTGACTGCCTCGGAATGTGACCTCGAGCCATCCCAGAGGGATTTCCAGGGAGCAGAGGGCTGGTTTAATGGGAACATGACTCACTCCACACCCGTGAGCACATGGTATCACTTAGCAGAGCACAAACACAACTGCAGCTCCTCACAGCCCCTCTCCAGCTCAGCAAGGAATTCCGTGCTCCCAAACTTCCTCCTGAAGCCTGGAATACTCCGAAATCCAATTAAAAAAAACCCACTTGGGAAAGCAGGGATCTGCTTCTCAGGAAGCAATTTGCAGGGATTCCCCTCAGAGGAGGCTTAGAGGGATAACCAGCTTTGGGAAGCAGGTGGGACACAGCCCGGGTCAGGCTCTGAGTGACAGGTGAACCCAGAGCGTTTTGGCTCCCCGGAGCTTGGGAAGGGCCATTCCTGAGGGATAATACTGAAGGACCAAGGAAATACTTTGCTTGCCAAGAGAGAAAATCCCGTCCTGCACCTCCGGACGCCGCTACACCGACTCAACCCCTCGTTAAAAAGAGTCTTTAATGAGAATCCCCCTCCGAGGTCCGTGAAACCACCTCGTCCTTCATCCTCAGCAAGTCTTCCCGGGGGGAACCGTCCGTGCCGGAGCTTTTGGGATGCCGGAGGGCCCGGCCCGGCCCACTCTGGGAGCGGGACAGCTCCGGGACTCGGGGCTAGATGGAGGAGTCGACGGTGAAGTGGCCGTTGTGCGAGAGGGTGCCGCGGTCGGCCGTGTTCAGCTTGACCACGGTGGGCGTGTACTTGGAGTTGCGGGGGCAGGGGAAGCACAGGATGCGGCGGAAGGTGCTCCTCATCTCCGTGTCGCGGTACGAGTAGACGATGGCGTTGATGAGGGAGTTGATCTCGGCCAGCAGCAGCACGTACTTCTCCACCGCCAGCACGTTGCAGCTCTTGCAGCCCAGTCCGTCCAGGAGCAGCACGACCTGCCCGGGGGTCCAGCAGATCACAAAGGCACCTGGGAGAGGGGAAAACCGGGGGAAAATGAGGGGGGAAGTTGGGGGAAATCAGGGGAAAACCAGGGGAAAGTCAGGGAAGAATCAGGGGGAAATCAGGGGGAAATCAATGGAATCACAGGAATCTTGTGAAAAAAGTCACCCCACAGCTCCAGAGAGCAGGGAATGTCACCTCTCAGCCCTCCCTGCTGTCACCTCCCCACCCCACAGAGCCCAGGGTGGGGCATTAAAGTGTCATCTGGACTGAGCTGAGCACACGGACTGAGTAAATCCACGTCCTGAAACTGTTGAGTTCCTCAGCACCCAACCCAAACCACCACCCAACCCACAACCCCACAGCCCCAGACACCAGGGAACAGAACGTCACTTCCCTCACTTCCCTGTTGTCACCTCCCCACCCCACAGAGCCCAGGG